ACAGCTCTTGTAATCAGATTATAGATGGATTTTTTTAAAAATCCAATAGCTAGAAAATGTAGCCCATTTACATTTATTGTAATTAGAAATATATTAGAGTTAATATACCACCTAACTTTAAGTAATTTCTGACAATTTTCTATTCTTTTTCTCTTTTATTTTCTGGATACTTTTAGCTAAGTACAGTACTTTAAAAAATTTTCTTATTCACACTCTCTTTCTCCCCAGCACTGCCATTTGCTGGTTGAAGTTAATGCATTCTATTTTATTTCTTTTACCCTTAACAATTAACATGCATACTTTACTTAATGTAATTTAAAGTTAATAATTTAACTATCAATTTAACTTAACAATTATTTAACTAACTATAGCAAGTTGCTATAGGGAATAATTAAGGCTTTGGGGTGATGTTATTCATAGAGACAGACAGCAAAGACTTGGAATCTATTTGTTACCAAATATGCAACCTATATGTAAATTTGTAACCTATATGGGTTTGAAGATGCATCCAATTATCACCTTAATAAATACCCACACATCTACCCTCGCTGGCTTTATACACTGTTAAATGTCCTCCTTTGTGGGTAGCCTACACTTCATAAGTAATGACAGGAGTTGAAAACATCCAAAAAATAAACATCAGTGTTTGCCTTCTCTTGACTCTTAGAACCATAAGTATTTCCTTCCAGTTCAGGCAACAGAACAAAGCTGAGCATAAATGTCTCTTAGAAATGGCAAGTTTCACAAATGTCTCTTCCATAACTGTTGATAAGCTAAGAAGTAAGTATGAAACCATGATCTGAATTCTCTCAGGTATTACCACGGTTTACCTTTGATTTCTTCATCTCTTTTGCTATATTTGAGGCTTAAATAATGGGGGCAGAGGCTTAGCTAATTTCTTCCGAGTATGAAAAGGAAGGAAAAGCTCTATTTTGAGGGCTGAAGGTATAGCTCAGTTCTAAAGTGCTTCTCTAGCATGTATAAGGCCCTGGGTTCCAACCCTGGCACCATAAAAAGAAAAAAGGGGAAAAAAAACTCTACCTTTAAACCAATTGAAAAATTATCTTAAATTAAGCATTTAATTATAGCTGACATAGATCATATTTTGCTTCAACTAGTTCAACATAATCAGCTGTTGTATGTGCCATATATTAGGTCACATTTTTACACCTTCAAAGTGTTTTTGTGAATAGCATGCTCATTTCTGCCTTCATACAACTCTGTGCAGTAGGTAAGGTAAGGTTACCACAGTAAGGAAGAATCAGAAGGGGCACGTGACCTACGTTCCCAGAGCCAGTTGGCGCATAGCTAGGGCTAAGCTGTGGTTTCTTGCTGCCCCACACTGAAAAGTGACTGCTGTACTCCTGGGCAAGTGAATGCACTTTTCATCCTGTTCATGTTTCTGAGTTCAGGGCCTCTTCCAGAGGCCACGGCTAACCACGCATGTCAGCCTTAAGACAGATGTTCCAATAGGATTGTGTTCCTCTCACTTTGGTTTCCCTGCTCAATCCAGAAAATCATCTGCTTTCTTTAAATCCCCAGGGGCTGGCAGTGCAAATGATGACCTACAGCCCACTGGCCTTGATCTTCTCTATTTCCCAAAACACACAGAGGTAATCCTTTTCCAGACAACTAATAAAAGAAAATAGCAACAAAAAGCAGAGCTCATAAATTTCCATTATGTTTAATGCTTGATTTCACTCAGTTAATGGATTCATTTATTAAAGCAATTTGTGTAAATCCCCCAGAGCCTGCTAAGGTTGTCGCCTTATGGTTTTATCATGTCACATCTTTCCTTTATTCCCATCCTTTAACAAATAGCAGACTGGAAAAGAACTTGGGAGCAACCATTACTTAAAATATAGGTAAACTGTAAACAAGGTTAAAAATAAAACCTTTTCATGCCTCTGGGATTCCAGCTGAGCCATAAGGTCTTATGTTCTGGAGTTGGCATATGCCTTTCAATTTTCCAGGTATAAGGCTGTAGTGAAGGGCTATGGGAGCCATCAGCAGAGTACAACCACCCGGAGGCTGTCCCTTTTATGGGGGAGGAGACGGGTAGAGAACAGATTTGTGGTTGCTTTGTATGACCACAGGTCACACTGTGGTCAGGAGGGAACAGACCCTGGGCCTACTGGGCTCTGGCCGAGGTCATTTAGCTACAAAGGCTCTGCAGTGATGAAGTCCAAGCTGCAAGGCTTATACACATGTGAGTGTATTAGTATAATCTTTGGCTAGAACTGGTACTTCAGCCTCAGCAAGCCTGTGGTGTATCTGCTCCTCTTTATCCCAAAGGGATGCAAACAAGCATACAAATGGAGAGAGTCCAATGTATGCTTAACACTAAGAAACAGCTTAATGGAAACTCCTCACTGGGGCCGGATCTAGGGAGAAAGCCAGCCTTAATATGCAGCCACCCCACAAACAGCAGCAACAACAATAGAAACCCACAAGAAACTGGAAGAGACCCTAGATAGCAAGGAACAAAATTCTGCCCACCTGAGACGGACAATATAAATGTCTATTTGTTCAACTAGCTGGCTACCACTAGAATATAATTATTGTCTCCTGTATACCAAATTAAACATGTAACTTAGAAAGTGCTTGGAAAAAATAAATGAAAAACTTATCTCTCAGTTGTATCTTAAGGAAGGGGGAATCTGGTCATGTGTGTGCTAAAGGAGAGGTGACAGGTAAAGACAAGAGGATCCAACAGGCAGGAAGAGCATGGGTTTAGCATGCATGAGGCCCTGGGTCCAATCTGCAGCACCAGGGGAAAAGAGAGGGATCTAGACAGGAGTGGGATGAGGAACTGGAACACGAGTGAGACTGAGTCTGGGTGGAGACACAGAGTGAGTTATAGAGGTCCACACAGACAGACTCAGAGGCTTGGGGTGGAAGAGAAAGGTTTAGAATAGCCAGTGAGACTTGGGAGGAAAACATCATATGCTTTGCAATATAAACCCTCTGTCTTCCCTGCAAAATTGATATAGAGTTTTGCCTGTTATTGCATTATGTGAAAAGAACTGGACTCATTTTTACCACATATGGAGGTGCCATTTGGGATGGTCTGACTTTAAATATAGTTTATAGAATAACATGCAAATTTTTCCTTGGGGTCCTTGGGGAGACCTCAAACAGTGGCTGAAACTGAGGTCAATGACTGGCCTGTGTGCTGCAGCCTGGGAGATTTGTGTTAGAAATATTAAAATGCCAGGAGTGGAGAAAATATTAATGAGTGCTTTCAACACAAGCCCTAATTCTAGTGTCACAAGGACAAATGACTCAAGTTGGTGCTTTGATTTATGATGAAACTGTTTTCTGTGCAAGCAGCTCCAGGAGGCTGCTGCAGGGCTGGGTAGCTGGATGATGGCCCCAAGGGTTTACAGTGCTGGTGGAGGAAGTATGTGGAGTTTTGATCCATGGCTGGCAGCGGGCAAGAGCAGAGGCTGCTGGTGGAGAGAGCCCACATTTGAGTCCAAGTGAAAAATGAATTGAATGACAAGTTTATTGGGACAGATGTTCATGCCAGGCAATGGGTAAAACCCCACTTCTGGTAACAATACTTCCATGTCAGTGAAATCACTTTGCCTTTTCCTAGAGATTAAGAGCAAAGCAGCCTTTTGTGTTCACAGACCCACTTTGAGGCTTAGATCTGCCACTTGTAGCTCTTGACTTCAGACAGGTCGTTTAATATCTCTAAGCTTTGATTTTGTTTTATGTAAAACAGGAACAATATTCATGTCCACATCAAACAGTCATGGTGAGGTTAACAAGCATGAACCTGTAGCTCACTATATACTGATGATGATCATCACTGTTATGAGACCACTTGGTGATCCATGTGACAGTTAGTACCTACTCACAAGTGAAGCCCCCACAACAGTTTCCTGCTCTCTTTGGCCTCTTTATTTTAAAATCTTTGTAGTCACTAGCACTTCCTTTTCCTAAATGATGGGACAAATATATGCTAGAAAATCCTTACCTTCATTGGTTTTGTTTTTTAATCTTTTGGAGCAATACTTGATGCACTTTTACATTCATATCAGTGTGCATATGGTGAGTGTATACAACATTAGAGGATTATAAAATATAACATGGAAGTTTCTGTCTTCCATCTCATACTAGAAAATAATTAGGTGGGGCTGGGGATATAGTTCAGTGGCACAGCATCTGCCTGGCAAATGCAAGGTCCTGAGTTCGATCCCCAGTACCAAAAAAAAAGAAAATGATTAGGGTAGAGATGACCTATGTATGAGAACAGACCCAGCTCTTAGTGTGATATGAGGACCCATGAAAAGCTGCAGAGCAAGCAGCAACCAGGCCTCCCCTTCATAATGATAAATTTCATACAATGTCCTCATCACATAAAATGTCCTTTGGGACAGTGTTTGCTCTTTTAAAATCCCCATTAATCCCCCTCCCTGGATCCAGCAAACCCAGAATGTTTCCTTTAGCTATGTACTCTTCCCCGCCCCTGCCATGTCCCTTGCTCCAGGTCTCCACAGGTCCAGGCCATCTGTGCTCTCTGCTACACCTGGGCCTGGCAGTACCTAATCAAACAGTGTGAGAATGGAAGGCAGGGCCGCAGGGCCACAGGCCCAGCCTCCCGGCATCTGTGGTTTGACTCCAGATGTTATTTTAGTGCAACTTCAGTGTTTAGTTCAAGGATTTGTGTAGACCAGAGGTAGGGACCAAAACATGATTTTTTTGCCCTATGGACAAATGATTAAATCTGAAGTTCTCAAAAAATGCACAGGTGGATGCAAAGTGGTATCCAATTGGGAAGACAGAGATGCTCTGAAGAGCCCTCCCCTGCCAAGGATCTTCCTTCCCTAACTACCGCTCACCTCCCAGCCCGGCTCTGGGCATCACCTGGGCAGCCTGTGGTTACGAGCTGACCGGGAGCCCTGTGCAATGAAGCAGTCCTTCCCTCCTTGAAAGTGTCTGTTGAGCCTTTGCTGGCAGAACATGCTACAGGTTTGCTTCATGTTTTACAGTCCTGAGAGTGCCACAGTACCCCGCTGCTGAGCCATGGCTGAAGGAGAAATCACAACCTTCACAGCCCTGACTGAGAAGTTTAACCTGCCTCCAGGGAATTACAAGAAGCCCAAACTGCTGTACTGCAGCAACGGGGGCCACTTCCTGAGGATCCTCCCAGACGGCACGGTGGATGGGACCAGGGACAGAAGCGATCAGCACAGTAAGCAGCCTCTCACCTTTCTGTGTCACTTTAGTCAAGGATAGGATGAGGGTGGGTAACTTGGTGCCACTGCCTGCTGCTCTGAGGTTCCGTTCGGGCATGGCCCATTCATTCAGAGGTGGGGGCAGCAGAGAGAAGCAATCGGCCTGGGTTTGGAAAACCGGGAGCTGTGAGCAGGCACTTAGCTAATGGTGTCCTATTTCAAGTTTTTAAAAGGACTCTGGGCAGCCTAATACAACTGACTGCCAGCATTCGATGGCTGGATGTTTTCCTGTTTCTGGAACTGGTGAAAGATGCAGCCCTAAAGGCTGGCCAGGGGTCTGCTTGCTCCATGATGGGAAGAGCCAGATGGGCAGGCACGGTAAATCCTGCACAGAGATGTGGGCTTGATTGCAAGTTAATAGGCTCTCCAGGTGATGTTTCCGCTGGGCTTGATTTGTGAAATTCTAGTCCATGACCATGGTCTTACACATCATAAATTATGCAGCTTTCCCGAAGCACGTCATGCAAATGGGGCTGCGGCAACCAGGAGGGGGAAAGTCATTCTCCAGACCCTGCCGAACCAGAGAGGGGAAGCTGAGAGCCAAAGGCTCACTATCCCCTCCTGGCTTTCCTGGCAGCTGGCTCTCAACGGTGTTGATAAATAGAGGTGTGGCCTTGCAGAACAGAACTTTCTCGGCTGAGTATAAAGACCTCTTCCTTCCGCCTCAGCACTTCTGGTGCAGCGGGGTATGTCTGACATCCACTGCCTAGTCCCATCCATGGCCTCGTCCTCCCTGACTACCACTGAGACATTAGATGTTGTAGAGACCTGCTCCCTGCTGAGGGGGGCAGCAACTTCAAAAGTCAAATAAGCAGCGCACAGGTAGGAAGGAAGGTTTTGTGGGAATGGCTTTAGTATAGAATATAAAATGTTGGCTTTGACGTGATGGTTTATACGTCAGGCGGTTCTCATTATCCCTGAGCTATACACCAAAGGTTGCACCCTCTAAGCACAATGACTGCTCAGTGTGACCCGCCCTCTTCTCTCGGATGCACAGGGAACCAGAATGGATGGTGGCATTTCCAGAACAGGTGGCATCGTCTCTTCCTTCCTACCCACTATTTGGCCCTTGAGACGAGCAGAAAGACTGAGGCTGAGGTTTGCAGCTGCAGGAGTCTGGGGGCTTTGTTTGGACATTTTATCTTTAAATGGGTCTCCTGTGAACTTTATAATTGGTGAAAAACAAGCATCAGAGGGGCTAGGGATTTAGCTCAGCGGCACAGGGCCTGCCTGGCAAGTGTGAGGTCATGAGTTCAATTCCTGGTACCAGAAAAAAAAACAAAAAAGAGAAACCCGCATCAGAATAAGCAAAAGATAGACAGATAGATGACCGTAGTACACTAAATGTAAGCAATATTTACTGTGAATAAATGGACTCAGATTGTAGTCCATTGTGTTAGGCATGATACACAACTTACATGATCTGCCCACACAATGGAGGGACAAGCCTTCATTTCTGTGAGTTTTAAATATTTCCAATAAGCTTACCAATTTTCTCAGATCAAAAGGGAATGCTCTGGTCTCCAGAAGCCGAGAGGAAAGGCAACCACAGTGACATGTTCCTTGGGGTTAAACTGGCCCTTCTGGGAAACCTTGAACTCCAAAGTAAAAACAGGGTAAAACTGCTGGGATTTCTGTACAGATGTCAGATGCTTCCACTACTGTCATCCCTTCATTAACATTAGAGACTGCGTTCGGGGTACGTAACACCGAGGCAACCTCCGAGCCTGCTGTGGGTGTAATGCCAGGAACTTCTGGAACGCAGCACAGCGAGCCACGGGAGTATGTGCAGGGTGCTGGCATCTGAGTGATGCTGGATTACTGACCAAGTGAACACGGGCAAGTTACATAGTCTTTTTTGCCTTACTTTTCCCATTTGTAAAATAAGAAATATAGTATTACTTGGTAGAGTTAAATGAGATAACAGAGTAAATGCTTTGGGCACAGCTCCTGGCCCAGAGTCACGGCTCAGCACACATTGGTTAATACTGCTATTATCATCATGAAGACTTCTGTACGTTCAGTGCAGCATTTGGAAATGAGTCTGTATTACAGGAATTTCCCAGGTCTCCTCTCTTCTTTTTTGTTTTTTTTTGTTTTTCTCCGGTAACAGGAACCAAACTCACGACCTTGCGCTTGCCAGGCAGGCGCTTTGCCGCTGAGCTAAATCCCCAGCCCGGTCTCCTCTCTTCTATAATACCAACTCCCAGGGAGGACAAGGGTCTTGACTCAGGCTTTGATTCAGGGCCTCTCTGCCAATACTCAGAGCTGGCAGGCTGGCCTTTTTTTTGCTTACTCTGGAACTAATGACAAAGGCTGGGGACAGGAGTCAGAGTTCGTGGGGTAGGTGGGCAGAAATCCGTCTGCCCAGTCTGCACATCTGCCCAGTGCCAGAATTGGATAATCCACATGGCCCCTGCAGTTCGGGGCCCTAGTTTACAGAGTCCAAAAGCTTGAGTGCATAGTCCTGCTCTGCCACTGTGTAACTGCACCATGAACGTTCTCTGCATTACACACCAAGTATTCTGCAAAAGAAGCTTCGATTGCCCAGCCCTATGGCTCTTCCAATCTCCGGAATCCCCAAGCTGTCTAAAGTTGGGGATAACTTTTCATCTCACTCAGACTCAGTTTCCTGTCCTGTGGAATGGCTATGACAGCCTTGCCCTGTGCATCTCACATGTCTGAAAACTATTAGGTGAGAGGAAAACTGCAGGTAAAAGGAACCTCCAGGTTCCTGGCAGCCCCACTCACACTACAGTCCCTGAATGTGCATCAGTCGCCCTCTTCTGCCCAGTGGTGGTATTGCACAGGCACTTCCTGATCTCCAGGTTCTTAGGAAGCAGAATCAGCCTCAGATAGGTAAGGAGAGAACGATGCTTCCACATAACCGTGACCTACATAGTTTTGCGATGGAACACTCTTCATTGCAGGCCGTTGTTCTGAACATGAACAGAGCTGTGGTGACAGACAGAGAGTCACCTTCCAAGACTTCCTTCAGGAAGAGCATTCCTAAAAGTCAATCAAATATTCATACAAACCTTTATCAATCCTCACAAGACAGAATTGTGTACCCTGGAGCTCCACAAGATAAAAATAATTCACAGCTTCTCTGTCCTCAACTAGTTGATCTGCCTTGGGGAAAACTGGGAAGTTTTCAAAAATATGTCTTCTTCCTACCCTTAGGCAAGTAAGTTTCCACATGCCTTGTTGTGCTACCAGCCTCCCAAGGACGTGCGCCTGCTGCTGTCCTAACATGGACCTGAGCACAGGGTCTCCACCGGCAGGACTTTCTGCCTGTGGAGAACACAGCTTGAGCTTGTCTCTTCACCATGCCTCAGGCCACAGCTGTAGGCGCCTGTCAACACGGCGTCCCCTCCAGACCCCCAGAGCCGGGTGAGCCAGACAGCGAGAACTGCTGACTGGGCCCAGAATGTGCAGCTTGCGAGAAGGTTCCCACCTCAGCTCTGAGACAGGGAGGATGTCACTGTGAGAGGGAGGGTTTTGGAGGAGGCACAGGTGCCAGGAAAGATGGCCAGTTCCATCGTGGACACAACGTTTGAGGAGTGGCTCAGGCTCTCCCTGTGGTGATACTCCTCCCCGTACTTGTGTGATGACCTAACTGGTTCTGTCTCCCACTAAACTCCCTGAGGACAACGCTTCTGTCTCTCTCTCTCTCTTTTTTTTTTTTTGGTATCAGGACTCGAACTCATGACCTCAGGCTTGCCAGGCAAGTGCTTATGCCGCTGAGCTATATCCCCAACCCCAAGGCGTCTGTCTCTTAAGACTCACCACGGTAATTTGTATGTCCAGCACACTGCCCCTCACTTGGAATAATGCCCAGTAAGCATTACTCTGATGAGTCACTGAACTATACTGGAGATAAGTTCAATAATATACTCAATATCTATTGAGCACTGATATGTGCCAGGCACTGTGCTAGGCTCTTTCATTTCCTCATGAAGCATTGAATCACCATAACTTCAGGAACACTACAGCTAATAAGGAATGACCAGCGTCTAATGGGGACAGCATGGCGAACCTACTCAGCCATTTCCAACACCGAGGCTCTTTCCATATCCTGCCACCACCTTTGATACCAGCACCATGATGGAAATTTCACCCCACAAACTACATGTACACACAGAGCCACCCAGCCTGTCTGTGGGTCAGAGAGGTATAGACGTAGGTCCCGTTACTGACAGTTACTAGTTGTTATGTCACCATAGTAGAATAACTTCATCTCTACGTGCCTCAGTTTCCTCATTTTAAAAATAAGAATGACAACAGTGCCTACCTCCCGTGAAAGGAATCTGAAATGTGATGTCTCTGAGAGTACTTAGCACATTTCTAGGCACAAGAGTGCTTGAAAAATGGTGTTTATCATCGCATTATCACCATTTGGGGGCCTTCCCGGGCCCTCCTCACCTAACACTGGATGTTTGGAGTCTGTTAAACTTTAATGGATGCTATCCCTGCTCTCAGAATTGAGGGTGACTTCTCACCCCAGCTTCTCCGGGACTTCTACATTGGAGGTCTTGAGGCCAGCACAGAGGCAAACAGGCCCAGGCCCTGGCCTGGCAGAGGGGGCCGCTGCATTCGATGCTGCTTTCTTGCTGGAGTTTCTTCTCTGAAGAAAGCCAGCAAGCCTCGCTTCCTGGTGGGACTAAAGACTGAGGTAGGAACGGGAAGACGATGACAAGTTCTGAGCTTCCCAGGCCTATAGCCGCCGCCGCCGCCGCCTCCTCCTCCTCCTCCTCCTCCCTAGGCACGTAAGAGGCCGTGCGGAGAGCAGGATTACTGGTACACTACCCACACAAATGGAAACATTCTCGAGCAAAGTGCGTGCCAATCAAATATTTATACATCCAGCCGCATCCTAAAGGCACTGGGGGGGAGGGGTGCTAGTAAAAAGAATCCTGCTTAGCAGCCCTGCATCCAGGACAGACTGCCCCTTAGTGACATCCCTCCCTGCCTGTTTTTGGGGGTCTGCAGACCCCACTTGTCTGGCTTGATAGGAGTCGGCTCTTCACGGTAAAGGCACTGTGCTCCTGCCAGCTTGGGTCCCACATCAAGGCAGCTTTCAGAGCTGCACTCGGCTGACAGAAGCCACACAGGCAGGTCCCTGCAGGAAGGTCCTTGGGATGGTCACGTGCAGTCCAGCCTTGGTCACGTGGGATGTGAGGACCTCCTGGTCCCTTGGCCTCCATCCCTTATCTGATTATACAGGGGGATTTCTGGACTAGACTAAACCAAAAATTTCAGGCACCCTTTCCACTCTTTAGAAGAACAAACACCTTTATGGGTTTTAAGAAAGGTCTTTCAAACATAGACATGCGTATATATGTGCATGTGTGTTTATATACGCATTCCAAACCGCCGGAATTTTCCCTCCTCAAATCCATTTTTTCTACCTTTTTTGTCTTTCCTTAATGTCTTGTGGGGCCTGGCCACAGCTACATTTTAATTATAAATGCCATGGACATAAAACAACCTCCCGAGTACTGAATGAGGCTGACCTCACTCTGGGTAAACACTGCCAAGGACCCAAGGACGGGAAGTCTGCAACCCAGAATAAACCGTCGCAGCCTCCGTGGCCCTAGCTGGGATGTGCTGCACGCCGGCTGCTCCCGTCCCCTGTGCCCGGCTGAATGCAGTGTAGCCTCATCTCTAGCAGATCCTAGGGCAGGACTGGAAACGCTAGGCTGAGACTGGGGCAGGCGCACTTCTCACCTAGTGGGCGTGAACGCCTTTTCCTGGTTTCTGCACCAGGAAAATGAGGGATCACGGGTCTTAACTTAGTGAACCACCCCCAAGAAACCTCTGGGAACAGGAGAAAACAGAGACTCAGCTCCTCCAACAACAGCCGGGTGCTGTTGGGCTGGCGTACGCGCTCCAAAGCTCAGTGTCCCCCTGTGAGTAGGTCCCCCAGGTGTGCAGAGACCTAGGCAGGGTTTAAATAACAAACACAAGGTAAGGTAGGAGGCTGATCTGCAAAGATGATTCTGTACATTTCAAGGTGACATTTCTTTTTGATAAATAGAGCATTCCCAAACCAATGCGTCCTAATACAGTCCTTCAAAAAATCATCTGGGGATATAGCTCAGCAGTAGAACATGTGCTTAGCATGAGGAAAGCCCTGTGTTAAATCTTTAGCACACACACACACATGCATGCACACACACACATGCATGCATGCATGCATGCACACACACACAGATTCCATCCAGGACACTTAGGGTCACAAATCTGCCAGGCAAACACTTCCAGCACTCTTTAAGTCTGTTTTTACAATCAATGTGTTGTCAATCTGAATTTCTCTACGACAAGTGTGTCAACCACTAAGTCGCTTTTTAGGAGTTGCTTTCTACTCTGCTAAGTCAAAAGTCATCCTCATTTGAGAAGAAAGAGAGGTACCCTACCAGGGGCACGTCTCATCTTTCAACAAGAACTTATCTGTTCACCCTTGAGATACCTGGAGCCACCGCCCTTCCTGCTCACAGTGAGCAAGCCCTGGGTTCCTGCTCCAAGCCTCATTCTAGGAGCGGGTCGCTGGCGGGGAGCGTTGAGAGGGGGTGAGTGGAAAATTTGTAGCTTTCTTGGCCTTTGCCCCAGCCTGCCTCCCTGGTACTGCCGGGTCCCCAGAACAGCCAGGTACTGTGGATCGCTACACTCAGGACTAGATGCAACATGGGCTCAGGGCACAGCTGGGTCAGAAAACAGCTCAGGGGTCAGGAGCCCAAAATGGAAGTCTTAGCCAGGTCCAAGTGTCCCCCGTTGACTAAGAACAGAGGTTAAAGACACAACCGCTGCCCCTGGCGGGTTCGAAGGGAGAACCGTGGTGGGGGACAGAAACTCTGATCAAAAACTTTGTGAAGAACATAAACTAATGTGCACAGCTCATGACTATGTATACAGTAAAACATAAAGGTGTACAGTAGATACAGACCAGATACCAGCCAGCTCTACAGCCTCGTCTGCCCAGGGTCAGCCATAGAATTGTTCTTGTTTGGGGCTGGGGATTTAGCTCAGCGGCAAAAAGCGCCTGCCCTGCAAGCGCAAGGTCGTGAGTTCAGTTCCCGGTACCGGAGAAAAACCAAAAAAAGCCTGGGCTACAAAGTGAGCTCAAGGCCAGCCTGAAGTGCATAAGCAAGACCCTGTCTCAAAAAAAAAAAAAAAAAAAAAAATAGAATTGTTCTTGTTTTTTAAATGAAGCGTGAGGGTAGGAGGCAATTCTTCCCATCCCTCTCCCTAGCCTTAGTCCTTCTCATCCTCCCCGGAGAAGCTACTGTATGAATTCAGTGTATATCTAGTGCGCTATTTTACATTCATAAATATATATTCAAGAGCTATACATATTGGTGTTTTTTACAAAGTTTTCATCAAGGGTTTACTGTGTTTCCCCACAACATTTTTTGACTGTTTATTATTTTCAGCTTTGAAAGAAGGGACAAAAAAGAGGGAAAATTTTATAGAGAAAGAACAGGGGAAAGGAGATAGAGTTTTTATTATGGTTTTTGCACTTTTGTTTGCATTTGCTCAAAAACAAATGGGGCCCTTGTTCTGCGCTGTTTTACCATGTACGGGTTGGTGTGTCTGGCTCCTAATCATGTGTAAGCCCTGGCTGCGGGGACCATGTGTGCACGGAGCACAGTTCCCACACCAGGCACACGAGTATGTGTGGAAGGAACGGCTCTCCGCGCCTGGACCTGCACTGCTGGAGGGGAAGGGGTTGCTGCACTGCGGCCACTCCTCCCTCTCTTTCTGAGGCCCCCTTTCTCATGCTCCCTCCTTCCCCAGTGGCAGCTGCAAGAGGATGTATGTCTGGAAAACTGGGGTGAGGTCATCCTGGAGAGCTGGACACCTAGGCAGCTACATGAGCGGCTCAGGCTGGGTGTTGCTCCTTCCTGCCGGCGCTGCTTGCAAAAGGATATATGTTTAGGAAACTTAGCCAGAAAGAAATCCAGTGAAAATGAGCTATGAAACTTGGACATCCTGTAGAAATAATATTTACAGAGGAAACTCTTGAGACGAACTCTCACCAGCCCCACAACCCTGGTGCTGGGGCTCATGGGTGGGGGCTGCAGTCATGTGCTAGGCAGACCTGCAGCTCTTGTCGCCTGTGTGAGGCCTTCCCATGGCCACAAGAGGATGCCACAGAGGGCGGAGGCAGCTCCACTTAGCCCCGCAGCAAGACAAGTGGGTACCATGTAAGGCAGCAGAACTGAAGGGAACTAGGACATGAAAAGCTTTTCAACATCTTGCCCTTGATTAGCTAAAAAGACCCACCCTTAGGGAGTGTATTTGATGAAATACCTACGCAGATAAATGCCAGGCACTAGTCTCCCTCCACTCCATGAGAGTGGACGCTACCAATGGGACCCGGCAGGACTGTCTGGCATCTTGCCAGTGTCTAACCTTGAACACAAGAGGGTGCAAGCAGATTAGGACCATCCACCTCTAATTGGAGCCTAAGAAGCCGTGTGAAGGAGAGGAAAAGGTAGGGCACCGGAAGTACTCGAGCCCAGTCCTGGTCATGCTTTTTCACCTTCTTTAAGTATAGCCTTGAATAAAATCTGCTACCACCAAGCTTCAGCATCTCTCCTGTAGCTTGCAGTGGGTGTGGCCTCTCTCCAGGGAGGACTGTGAGGACCAGGTGGGGTCATGTAAGCACAGAGCAAATAATGATCATACTGTCCACTTTCCATGCATTACCTCACTTCATCGGTTCAACTCTAGCTGTAGGTAAGGAAACAGGTCAACAATCTGCCCACAGATCACCCAGCGAATGCACGGCGCAGCACAGCCAGAACTGGAAGTCGTGTGGTTTGGGTCTAGAGCCCACCCTCCTTAATCTGACACTATGTACACCAAGCAAAAATTCACATGATGGCTGGCACACGTGGGTGATCAATAATACATGGCTATCCTCTTCCCTTCATCTCACATATGCAAAATTATGCTGAGAAATTAATTTTAAAAATATATGTGAAGGTTCTCTGAAAACCATGAAGTCCAATGAGAATACAGGCCCTTTAAAATAAACAGCTTTACAGAGATATGATTCACACACCATAGAATTTACCCGTTCACAGTGCATAACCCGGCGTTTTTGCTTGCAACTTTTCTTAACAGACTGATGCAACCATCTCTGCCATCGATTCTAAACATTTTCAAAAGTAAACCATGTGCCCTTTCTCTTAATTCCCCCATGGCCATCCATGGCCAATCTCCACCTCTGGACAAGCCCTGGCTACTAGTAACCTACTTGCCGTCTTTATGGATTTGCTTATTCTGGGCTTTCTGTGCAAATGGGATATGTGGTCTCCTGCGGCTGTTTTTTGTTTGTTTGTTTCACTTTACACTGATGTAACATGTATCAGTACCTCATGCCTTTTTGTCAAGGAATAACATTCTACTGTATGTGCCACTGATGTTCTAGAATTCTTAGGCCTTTTGCTTCTAGGACTATCAGACCTGAGAGGAATTTCATAAAGAAGGAACAGAAACCCCAGTGTACCCAGAAGGAGACTGTGGCCTGGAGAGGTTAAGAGGCCAAGCCAAGTCACCCAGCTGGGTGGGGGCAGAGCTCGGCCTCCAGCCTCACAACTCTGCCTCAGTTCCCTCTCACTGCATTGCCAGGGACACAAACCAAAGCACACAGCGTACTGCTGAGGGTCCCGCAAAATTATCTCCACCAACATTAGCCTGACACCATTCACTCCACACATGGCTACTGTGGCCTGCGTTGTGAAGGGCTGGGGACCCAAAGAGGCACAGCACAAACAAAATCCTACCCTTCCTCTCAGGGTGCACCTTCTCCTGGGGAGGCAGAAATAAACGAGCAGGCGCCTAAGCAATAAAATAATTGTTCAGTAAGGGCCACAGAAGAAATAGGTGCTGAGAAAGAGTGATGTGGGCTTGACGAGGTTCTGGGAGGGGTGGGAGCGAAGGACTCTGTGCAGAGCAGCCTGGGGTCCTGCATCAGGCACACAGGGGAGCCGTTCTAAGCAGGGAGTATTTCAGACTGAGACCCAGAGCGGGGAGAGGAGAAGATGCAGGAGAAGATGCCAGGCAGAGCACAGAGCATGCGCAGGGACTCCGGGGCAGGAACAAGCTTGGCGCACCGAAGGGCCTGAGCAGGCAGAGAGGGGAACTGAGGGCGCAAGTTGGAGCGATCTAGGGCCCAGCTCCTGGAAGAGGCACTGTCCTCCTCAGCCTGTTCTCCATGGCCACACTCTCAGAGCTAACCCAAGAGAGGCACGGGAGGCCCTGTGGGAAAGGAGATCGGTGGCTTCCAGTTCTCTTCCTGGAAATTCAGGAAGCTCCGCTTATCACAGGAAGCGGGAGGAAGTCCGGGGTCTCCGTAGCAGACTTCCAAGGGTAGAGAAGTTCGTCTTCAGTGGGGTTGATGTCCCTGTGCATGGCCCTTGGGGTGAATCAGAAGGTGAGGGAAACAAAGAGAAATGAGAACGTATAGGTATATCCATAAGGATGTGGTCAAGTGATTATGGTGAAGCCACATAATGGAACACAATTCAACTGGCCAAAACAACCCAAAACAGACATAATTTTTTCAATATAGACATAGTTAAAAAAAGCAAGGGCAGAGCTGTGTGGGTAGTATATTACCATTAGTGTAAAAAAAATCAGAAGGGGTATAATATGTACTTGGTAACACAAGCATATGATCTTTCTAGAGGGATTTACACAGATGTCCCCAAGAGGGACCCCCTGTTTGTGTCTGTCTCCCCACAGGAGAATGTGCATACAACACACACACACACCATGTAGCAGTGGAGGTTAGTGGCAGCACGCGCGCGCGCGCGCGCGCACACACACACACACACACACACAAAGGGCCAGGACCTCAGCTGCCACTAACCTCCACTGCTGTATTGTGAGAGGCTCAGGAGGGCTGCAGCGGGACTCTCCCTCTCTTCTCTGATTCTGTCTCCAAGCATGAAGCACATGAATGGATTTCCTTCCTATTCAAAGAAATTAAATTTTCAAATGAAAACAAAAAAAAGGCCACGAGAGCTCTGCACCTGCCAACCAAAGCCCTGTGTTCCAGCCTCCCTGCCCCTTGCTCCGACAAGCTGACCCTTAGAAAAACCCCTTCAGCCTCAAGAGAACCATTTACTGAGCAGTCGCTGGTTGCTGGTCTAGATTTCTTTCCCAACCATCAGGATGGTTTTGACAGTCTGGTGACCAAAGAAATTGTTTAGAAAAGTCCAGAAGTAAGTCCAATTCCCAAATGCAACCATCAAAGCACCTCCCTTCAGAGGAACTCTGGGGTGAATGAATAAAACAAAAAATTATCAGTTGGTTACTGGATTCCAATTTTGTAACCAGCAAGGGGCAAGGCCTCTTGGGAGTTTCAATCAGTGCCAACGGGGACCATGTGGCAGACGGCAGCTCCACTTTGCCTTCGCTCTCAAAGTTGCTCAACCTGGGCACCACTGACTTTTGGGGCTGAATAATTCCTTGTTGTAGGGGCTGCCCTGCACGCTGTAGGCTGCTTGCAACATCCTCTGGCCTCTGCCCATTAGATGCCAACAGTACCATCCATCCCCTCCAGCTGTGATACCAGAACAGGCTCCAGGCCTTACCCAGTGTCCCCTATGGAACAAAACAGCCCCCGGCTGAAAAACGGTGCCCTCATCACCGTATCTCCAGGTAACTGCCTCACTCTCCTATGCAGCAGGCTCCCACCCAGCCTCGATCGCAGCCGGGTTGCTCTGGAGCTAAAGGGTTGGCTGAACGTCACTGTGGGTGAGCTCCCTGCATCTCACAGGTGACAATGAGTCCTAACTCCCTCTTCTATCTGGAAAAACCAACAATCTCACACTAAAAAAAAAAAATAACAATCTGTTGGCAAGACTCTCTCCCCACCTGAAGGTGCAGGCCGTAAAAAGGACCCTACAGCAGACAGATAACTGAAGCAGAACAGGCCCAGGCTGGGCAGCTCCATGCTCCAAGCCCCCCAGCATTTCCAGGGCGACAGAGACAGAACCAGGGAAGCAAAGGTCATGTCCTCCTGTGATTACCTGAGGGGGGCAATGCAGAGGGGCCTGCAAGGTCAGTTGAGGTCAGTTGTAACAAATGGGCTGGACAGGTGGGCAAGACAGGCGCAGGCGCTGTTATTCCTCCTCTTGAAGTCATACTCCACAGGGACAGCTCTCCTCGGAGGGTAAGCAGAAAGGAGCTGCATTTCTGTGTTTTGATTAACTGGAGGCTCATCCTTGGGGCTCTACCAAATGAATGAGCAGAATTTTCCATGGCCCACTGTCCTGGCAGCCGGGCCCTATCTGCAAAAGCACGGTGTTTATTTACTTTTGCGTGTCTTATTTTTATCCCAGTTCAGCTGCAGCTCAGTGCGGAAGGCGCGGGGGAGGTGTACATAAAGAGCACCGAGACCGGCCAGTACTTGGCCATGGACACCAGCGGGCTTCTGTACGGCTCAGTAAGTACGAAGCTGACACGCCTCCAGATGTGGCCAGGGCTTGAGGTTTCCAGAAATCTTGTCACACTGAGTGAGCCAAACTAAAAGGCGTCAATTAGCCTCTGTTTGTTATTCTTTCCAGTAGGGCTCCCACCCTCTACCCTGCCTTATTTTGGGCACAAACATAAAAGAGTTTCTTGTGGTAGTTTCTCAAAATACTCAGATGGATTATCATGCAGACAGAAAGGGAACATTGATTGCCGTTCTGACAACTTGTCAGGCGCTCATCTCAGGCCACCTTATACCTTGGGTTCATCCCCAAAATGTTCCTTGAGCACCTAGGACACAATATAGGTATGTGTCTTAATGCTTCTAAAATTGCCCACATGGGACATGGTGGTATGCTCCTTATAGTCCCAGTTACTTGGGAGGCTGAGGCAAGAGGATCACCTGAAACCAGGATCTCAAGACCAGCTTGGGCAACACAGCAAGACCTCCTCGCAGAAAAACAGAAAAGCAGCAGCCCAAAATCTAATAATTTACATGGCTTGCCTAAAACTCTGGAAATAGTTTTATTCTAGAAGGACCACCTACAAGAATGAAAAATGTAGTGACTAAATTCAAATGTCTGCCAAATGGCTCCTGCAGTATCTAAGTACCATCTTAGGTGCTGAAATGGATGTAAAGATGAAGGAGCCGTGTCAGGAAGCACGGTCTAATGGTAGCAAAAACCTCCCACCTCTGCTTCTGCCCTCTCCAAGTTAATGCTCTGTACATTTGGTCTTTATGAGAGAAAAAGAGAAACACAGGCCATCTGATTTTGCCCTTCTTTGTATCTGTGCTCAAATATGTAAGGGGAGAGAGAGAGCTGGAGCCAGGAAGTGTGGGATTTGCAATTATTTCCGGATTTCAGGGATCCTTCTCTGTATCCTCACAGCTGATAACTAAGGTTTGGCAGAAATTCGCGATCCAGTCCAAACCCCTTCCTGCCTTTTATAAAGATGTCTACACAAAGGCAGCCAGTGGCCGAGTTTCGTCGGGGGCTTCTCTGACTTGAATCGAGTTGGCAAGTGAGGGTAGGCAGAGGCGCCCCTCTCCTGAACGGGTCTCGGGGGTGCAGGACATGAATACGGTTGTTTCCCCCTTGCTGCCCATTAGGGGTCAGGACCTGGACTCCTCAGAGCACCAGATAGCCTCTCCTGGGCTGTCCGTAGAAATACAGAGCGAGGGGCACATCTCGAAGGGGTTTGGAGTATAGGCAGTTACTTCTGCAAAGAGAGCTTTTACTTAAGGTTCTTCTTCTGGTTGGTACAAAATCAGTCAACCAGTCATTCAGTTTCAGACTCGACTGAATCACATGCTTCTGCCACTCTGGCAAGGTACTTGCCCACTCTGAGCCCTGTCTAAAGTGGGGCAGTGACAGACAGTGACCACCTCGTATGAAGCTCCAGAGGGTTCAGTGAAATGACATTCGGAATACACCCTCAGAGTGACTGGCACTTCAGGGGCGCTAAGACAAGCCATCAGCCTGTGAACCCCTTACCTCACTGTGCCCTAGGTTATAAGTTACAGCTTTATGGCTTTTTCTTCTTTAAGTCAATTTTGCTATTTATTACAGTCTTCTTTTACATATATAAAATATTAAGGAAGAGTCCCTCATTCCGATTTCCTCTGGATCCCGGGCAGCCCCTCCCCCTCCATGGTCATGGCCATTGGGGGGCTTCACCCACACTCTGATCTCGGGGTACTGCACCTAAGAATGATGACATTTTTCTCATTGATACAGAGAAGTTCTAAAGTATCTCAAAATCTCTGCATCATGCCCTGAGCAAATTCTAGGTATCAACCCATTCTAATTCAATGTGTGTGTGTGTGTGTGTGTGTGTGTGTGTGTCTGTGTGTGTGTAGAAACGGTGTATTTATCTTTTTAAAAAGTTTGAAAGGCTATATCCTAAAATATTAATATAGTTACCTTGGGGGTGGTAAGTGGATGACTTTACAATGTATGAATGTCTTGTTTTCTAAATTTCCTGCGGTAAGTACATGCCACCTAAATAATCAGGGGGAAAGCCTGCTAAATATAAAAAAAGGAAAGCGACACAACAATAGACATGAATCAACTGTCGGTTCACTTGCCTCCAGCACAGTGCCAGTGCTGACAAATCCTGGCCGAGGCTGCAGTAGAGATGGCCTGCCCACTCTGCCAGTGACTCAGCCCCTGTGTGCGTGTCAGCTGCCCCAGGCTAATAAAGACATCAGGTGGGGAGTGTGGTCGGTCTCACCTTTGTCACAGAACGCAGGCCAGCACCCACGGAGAACATCATAGGGTGAGCCCTCCCTGCAGGGGAGAGGTGACCCACACCGTCCCTCCTTGCACCCAGCTATGTGCGTACACGCTGATGTCTGGACCAAGTGCCTCTAGAGGAGCAGAGTCATCCAATTAAAGACTATATTTATCTCCCATCTCTTGCAAAGGGACCTAAGTGGCTCACCAGGTGTCACTTCACTAGACTGCAAATGAGTAAGAAGCAAGAGGCTTCCTGTCATGTAGCTCCTTATTGATAGAAGCTAACTAAAGGTTGGGGGTGTGGGTCAGTGGTAGAGTACTTGCCTTGAATGTGTGAAGCCCTGGGTATGATCCCCAGCACCACACACGCACACATACACACACATGCGACAGTTATACAGTTGCCTATATCTGGGTGATAGGCTTTGGGGTATTTTTTTTCTGTTTTAATTACAAGTTATGGCTTTTAAAAATATAATACTTCTTATAAGTAGCAAAAAATAGAGTTATTTTTAAATTTTATTTAAATTCCTGCACATGTTTTATGAGGCAGACAAATTTTGTACCAGCATTCATGTGTGTATCAGTGCTGGGGCAAAAACCCTGCAACTGTTTCTAAAAATCACCAGGGTGGAAAGCTGAAAGCCCCCAGTGCACTGCGGTGTGACTTTACCATTTCCAGTGTCTGTCCACAGCTGTCCCTGTGGGCCAGGCCTCCCCTGGCAGATCTCGCAGATCTCCCCAGCAGGAACTCTCAGTCCTGAGAACAAAAGACAGAAGAGGGCTTACAATAACGGCAGATGAGTGTTGAAAGCTCAGTACGTGCTGGGTACCCTTGCTAAGCCCTCACGGCCACCCCCTGAGAAAAGTTCCCTCCTTGTTGTAAGTCTCCTGAAGAAGAGACTTAGACACAGAGAGCTTCAGTAATTTGTCCAAGGTCACACAGCTAGTGAGCAAGGAACCTCACTGAAAGCTACTCCCTAACCCTGCGGCCCTCTTTCGGTTTTTATCCTTCTAGCAGGCACCAGGTGAGGAATGCTTGTTTCTGGAAAGGCTGGAGGAAAACCATTACAACACCTACACGTCCAAGAAGCATGCAGAGAAGAGCTGGTTTGTTGGCCTGAAGAAGAACGGAAGCTGCAAACGTGGTCCTCGGACTCACTATGGCCAGAAAGCAATCCTGTTCCTCCCCTTGCCAGTCTCTGACTAGAGAAATCTGCTCTGGGCACCGACCACTCCAGAGGAGCCTTGAGGGATCCTCACCTGGTAGACCCCAAAATGTTCCCTTAACCATTGGCTGCACTAACCCCCAGCCCACAGAGCCTGAATCCGTAAGCAGTGCACTCCTATATGCCCAGTTCATTTTTCGCAGAGCCCTTTGCCCTGGCACAGCTTGGGACAGAAGGACCAAATTGCCTCTAGGGACCAAATGGCCAGTCTGAGTCTGGGTGTGGGTGTCCAGTTGCCTCGGCACCTGCTGCAGGCTGAGCTTCTCAATGCAAAGGCGGAGCCGAGTGAAGTGTTAAGGGGTCTGCTGTGTGGGTCACTCGTAACCCTAACGCTGCCTGCTACTGAGTAAACCTTTGGCTGAAGTCCCCCAAACACCTACCCTGGCTGCCTTTTCTCCTTTCAGGGTTCCACAATTATTAGCAAAGAACCTGATTTCAAGGTTAGAGGAAGGCAGCATTCCATGACAGAAACAAGAACAGAGAATCACAGAAAGGGTCTGAAATGAAAAGGGAAGTTGCGTGTTGGCGCGCAGCTTAGAAGGATGGATCCCAGCACAGGGGAGGCTCAGCTGCAAGTGGGGAGCTGAAGGCAGGGAGGCTCAGCCACAGGAAAGCAGGCTGAAAGTCGTGCTGCCGACCTTCCCAAGGTTACGAGCAGCACTGGAAGCCCCTGACATCCCGGGAGAGCAGGCACTAGACGTGGTTTCTCAGTAAAGGCAATGACTTCGAGGTTGGGGCATTCAGCCGGGTCTAGGAGGTGGGGCTAGGAGGGGATGGGGGGTGCTGTCTTCCAAAAGGGAGGACTTTAGAAGCAAGCACAGAGAAAGTGACACCATCGCTTGTGCTTAGCCTCTAAGAAGCAGAGGTCTCGGGGTCCTGGCATGGGGCTCCCTGCTCCGATGTGCTTTACAGCTCACCTGGGGACCTAGTTTGTGTGCAGATTCTGATGCGGTGAGGCCGGGAGCAGTTTCTGTGTTGCCAACAGCCTCCCAGATCCCGCAGCGGCTGCTGCTTTCCCCTACCTTCCTGTAAGGAGCAGAGCCTAAAGAGCATTATTCAAATAAAGGTGGCTAAATCCTTGACCCTCACTAGCTCTGCCTCATTGTAAACGCACACACACTCCAGGTGGCTCCCTCAACCCCGGGCAGCATCCACGGTAGTTACGCCTGTATCGAGAAGCACGATTTTAAGGCCCCTTGGCCCAGAGCCCATAAAATGCCCATTTAGAAAAACACACAAAAGCATACTTCAAAAAAATGTTAAATCCTCCCAAACAGCTTTTCTCAAGAGACCATTTCTGTTACCATTACTTGTATAAATACGCTTCCTGCTTAACGTAAACTTGACCCAAGTGGCTAGCAAATTAGAAACACTATTCATCTCCGACATGTGATACTGATGCCCTGGGAAGGCCTTTAATAAGCCATTTAAATTTATGGTGAGACTGTATGTTTTAATCACATTTTAAAATATATAGCTTTAAGGCAGTTAAACACATTAGCATTCAGCCACTGAGAATGATAATAATAGGATATGATATACAAGCTACTCAGCTAATACTTACACTGCATTTACTTGTGGGATTGCTGTCTTCCATTGTGCTGTTTCCGAATTTTCTTTTGAAAATGGGTTCTCATAAGCAATGATACGATAATTGTGGGTAAAACTGATGAGAGTGTTAGCTCATGTTTTACAGGGAATTGCAGTCATTATTAATGGAAAAATAATTCCTCTGCAGTCATTATGAATTGAAAAATAATTCCTTATTAATTGAACTGTCATACTTAGGACAGAAGAAAAACAATGTGAAAGTTCAGCGTGACAATGCAACTGAGGAACTGAAACGAGCTGACATGATGGTGAATAGCAGTGCCCTGCTTTCGTACAGCAAAATGATTCCACCACCTTTTGTTTGTATAACTTGGATAAGATGATTCTCTTTTATTTTTGTAAATCTTTGCATGCAAGCTGGGGATAAGGCAACTGGGCTTACCATCACTTTAGTAAGAATATCTGGCCTGTGAAAGGTACTCAGAAAGGAGATGTAAGATATTTAATATTCCATAATATTTATTGTGTGAATCAAATTTAAGTGTAACATTGGCCAAGAAAAATTAAATACTGTTGCTAACAGACGAGATGATGGCCTGTGATTTCAGAGGCCCCAAGCACTACAGGAGGCTGTAGCCTGATGTCTCAGCCCAGCCATCATGCACATATTTGCTCAGTGACTATTACTTGCCCCCTGTGTGCCAGGCATTGTACTGGGCGCTGGGCTTCTTGGGGACCATTTCTGTCTAGATTGCTGTTGTGTGCTCTGAAGGGCATTACTTTATGTTGAAAGATGCTGTGGATTCCTTTCTTTTAGTCAAGTAAAAATACAGCCTCTGCTGTATACAGCTATACAGTTACTGCTGCATAAATAGCACATCCCAGACATTCAGGATTTGGAAGATTTAGCAATCCTCAACATAAGATGAACCTCTAAGAAAGTGGCAGAGGACATGGCAAAGTCAACCCAACCTTTTCAACTTTAGATCTGCATCAGCTCCAGCGGGACTGCTAGAAGGAGGAAGAGCCCCGAAGATCTTGTAAGAAGGAAGTGGCGGACAGCTTCCTTGTACTGTTCGGAATCTGCGAACATTAAACACAGGGACGTTCCTGTCTTGTTCTCTCTTCCATAAGTAAGTCTTGCAGCCATCGGCCTGTCCTATGCCTCTCACGTGGACTCATTTCCAGGCTGACTGTCACAAGGTACCTGCCGCTCTGTACAAAGCATCTGGAGCATCAAGACTTTTGAGGGTTGGGGATGCAGTGGCAGTGGCTCAGCTGTCACTGAAGATAAAGTCCTTCCTTTGTGTTGGAGGCACAAGAGCACGTGTCCTCAGTCTTGCAGAACATTCTGCCTGATAAGGTTGGCCTCCAGTGAAGGCCACACCTGCCAGCGGCTCCCTCCCTCTCCCTTCCTCTCCGTCCATTCCCCCATCTGCATCTCACAAATATTAATAAATGTCCAGTAACAGCTGACACGCCTCTGGGTTTCTGTGGGATCTTTCTACGGAAGGAAAGCTTTAGCACCCTGAGACATGGCGCCTTCATTGTCTACACTTACCTTATTACCAGAAATGACACTTTCAAGGTTGACAGGAAAATCTCACACAAAAACATTTTTATTTAGTTTGGGAACATAAGCCAATATTACTGATTTTCTAGGTTTCTGGTAAGGACATAGACTCAATAAATTCATCCCCTCAAACACCACTAAAAACTCACCTGAAACTTTTTCTTTATAATATGAACCATGTGAAATTCTGCCACTGTTGTTGAGTTGACTGGCTTCTGTTCAGGCAAAGATATGGTAAAAGATAAATATTTAAGGACTTACTTATAATTTTAGGTCAATGTCAACAGGCTGTAACTCTGTATCTCAAGAGGCCTAACGTGGGGCTATAGAATTCACTCATCAAACTTTCTGAATTATCTCACACAACAATATTTCCTTAAGGGAACCTCTGAATCTTATGACTTCTTATTCCTAGGATACACTATACTAGTGCTGAGTACATCATGGTAGAATTAGATCTCTCTCTCCACCTTCCTCCCTCTCTCACATACATATGCGTGCGCGCGCACACACATGTACCACCCATGGAAGAAACTGGGCACCATGCTTACAGTACTAATTACATATCACCAGTGCTCCTTTTCCGTCTAAAGTTGCTAGAAGTGGATCTTTTCTACCTTTCAGAGCTTGTTCCACAAAAGAACTATATTTTCCATTACAAACCAGCATGTGCATATCCCTTATACATACACACTACTGAAACAAAAAATTCACAAAACTCTAGGAGATACACTTCGGCCTTTCTGTTACATGCCACTAAAAAGTATGGGTCAGATATCAGTTAAATCAGGTCCCATATTAATGGGTCACAACCACAGTTTGAAAAACACTGGCTTAAAGCAATTGTTCTCCCTCCTAAAGATGGAGAGATCCAATTAGGATGCTGTGTTATGACTTTAGCGTTTTCAAAGACACGGTTCATTCTTGAATAAACAAAGACAAAGGGACATCCTGTTACCCAGGCACCATCTGTTCTGAAGCTCAGTGAATTCCGTTCCCTGTGTTTGCTACTAATGATGCAAAATGAAGGTAACAATGCAGATTCCATGGGCTCCACCGCAGCCTCCCATACTGGGGGTGGGGGTCTGCTCCGGGGAGCCAGGGAGACCTAGATCCACTCCCTCCTCCTCTGGAATGCTCACAGCTTTGGGTCTGGTGCTTACTCCCTCCCTAACCCCCACATCTTCATTCACCTCTCTCTGGCCCCCAAATTCTTACTTCATAATTATTTCTAAGAAAGATATTAAAAGTAGACTGAGCCAGGAAAACGCTGTAAAGCTAGGGTTCCTGAACATCTTCCCCAGCCTCCCTCGCTTTCTGGAAATTACCTTCTTATCTAACAAAACAAAACAGAAACCAACTCACTCCTAAGATAAACAGCACTGCTCCTGGAATGTAGCTTATATGAGGGTTGAAAAAATGCCCATCTTTACTAAAAAAAGTAACTGTGTCCTGAATATTAGAGCAGGGGAGAATGAGCCCCTTATGGGAGCATTTGACCATAAAGAGAAATCTATAGGAAAGTTATCACTTTTCATATCTGTCTGAGTGAGGTCCTGTTTGTCATGGGGTGGGGAGGAAGAGGCATCTCAAGTCCCAAGCACTCATGGGTTATTACGCTGTTAATGCGGTAATAGTGGCACATCAAACAAAAAAATGTACCTGCAATTGCACTTTCACAAATTAACCAAACTCATTTTTTTTAGGAGCAGTAGTGATACTGTAGGAATATTTAAGCCCAACTGAGAGGTGCACTTGTGTGTGCCCCGTTTGAAAAGTACTGGAGATAGATAGGCACAGTGGTATGTCCTGTAATCTCAGCTACTCAGAAGGCGGAGGCAGGAGAATCCAAAGTTCAAGCCCAGCCTAGGCAACTTAGCTAGACTTTATCTCAAAACAAGAAATATGAAAAGGTTGGGGATGTAGCTCACCTGTAGAATGCTTACCTAGTGTATGCGAGGCTCTGGGTTCAATCCCCGATACTGATAAATAAATAAGTACATAAATAACAAAAATAAATAAATAAAAAACTAGGGGTGCTCTGTCTGACAATTGTTAAAATGTAACAATCTGCTAGTAAAAGTGGTACTGCGTCTTTCCTGGTCCCCTCCTAAAAAGTCCTCTCCACTCCAGAAAGAAACTCTTTGTCATTGTACATAAACCTTACTCTAAAATGCAGTCAGGGAATTCAGAACCAGAGACACACGGATGTGACATGAGGGCCCCCAGGCCCCAGTGACCCCAGGGGGTGATGCATTGAATGGCTACTGGACTCTGTCTGCAGCGCTGGACCTGCTTTGTGGTTGACATATTGACTATGACATGCTACGCTGCTAGCTTTCCACCCTAGTTATAAAATTAAAGAGAGAAACGAGGTCACACACAGCCTGAAGCCAGAGATGGGTTTGCTGTGTGAAATGCGCATACCGTGGGACCTAGGTTTGGGGTCCGCTGAAGGATCTGCAAGTGTTTGTGATGTGGGAAGGAGGTTATCTCCCAAAGGGCTTCCGTCTCTCTCAGCTCCCCACTGTCACACAGACTAAACTTACACATTCAGTAACTAAACACCGGTGTCTGTTTTATTATACACACAAGCAAAACGTCACCCTGTCCTTGAGGGGCTTTGCGATCAGCCTTAATAAAGGGCTGGGCACGGCCTGCTGGGAACTGCCTTCAATTCCAGGATCTGGTTGGAATCAACCCTGGGCTGCAGTGTGAGGGGATGGAGACAGAGCCAGGTGATTTGTGCAAACGGTCACCGAAGCGTACTTTGTGTCTTCATATTTTGTGTTTTCCTGTTGTAGGAAAAAAAAATGTTTTTCACCTGACCCAGAGACGCGCAAGAGCAAGACGTCAGATGACCTTAATGATATTCCTGATGGGCCTTAGCCAGAACCCATTATCCCCCAGCACAGGTCAGAGGAATATTGCTATATACAAACTTCCTTTGTGTGGGTTAGGAAAAGAGGACTGTTCGGAGCCTGGGAATATGAACTGGGCTGGAGTTCAGCAATTTCCTGTGGAAATGAACAGAAACGCCTATGACATCCTCAAAATAGAACACCTGCCTTGGGGGCAGTGCTGCTGACAGGAGGAACGGTTGCAGACCGGCCAGATTATTCCTGGTATTACAGGATGAAACTGCAAATCCGTGAGAGGTGTGCAGAGAGGGGGCCTTGTTTCTGTGTCCCTCATGCTGCTAGAATCTGCACGTTTGCCTGCGGTGAAGAAGAGCTTTATGGGTTGTAAGACTGCTTGACTGCACGTAACTTCAAGAAACTCAAACATCTGGAAGAGTTTGGGAGGGCAGAGGCCACCCAGTCCAGTCCCCGAGAACAGCGGCAGTAATGTGAAAATTAAGCATCTTTCCTCAATTCCTCACTACCTCATCTAGTCATTAGTCATTTACTGGCTACTATGATATTAGTCAGAGTTCAGGATGAGACAGTAACCACACCGATAACTCGGACAGAGAAATTTAGAGGCTAATAAAAAAGATTAACTCCTCAGAGGGACAAACGGATCTCTAAAGAATGAAAAAGCAGGTGCAGGGAGCAGCTGCCATCGCCCAGCCTAAGGAGAGTCCTCTAGGATGGAACAAACTTAGAAGAAGGTATCCTCCCAAAAATGATGTGCAGACGCTACTGGATAAGATGAGGCTCTGGCCCAGCGGAGGGTGAAGCATCTGAGGTGCTTCAGGGAGCTTCCCACCGGAGCACAGGTAAAACTCCTACACGAGACTTGCGGGGTGCTGGCAAAACTCACCGGAGGCTGTGCCCTGCCTAGTCTCCCGCAGGAAGCTATGCTCTGGGCACTGTGCCATAGGAGCAAGAAGGCAAGAGCAAGAACCAACAGAACAGCCCTTTCTTGTTATGGTGCCCTCCCTGCACCCTCTACTGACAAACCTGGCGCTCTATCAACCGGTATATGAGAAGTGTTTATAGGCCGGGTGTGATGGCAAACACTCTGGGAGGCTGAGGCAGGAAAAACAAGCGTTTGAGCCCAGTCTGGGCACTGTAGTGATTTAATGAGACCCTGTGTCAAAATAAAATATCTATAAAGGGTTGGGGATGTAGCCCAGGAAGGCAGCCCTAGGTTCAATCCCAAGACCGCAAAATGAATGAGTGAGTGAATGAATGAGTTGTTTACATGGTCCATTTCAGTATTTAAAAACAAGAGAAAGAAAAGTGGAATAGGAGCAGAAAGGCAATAAACTGATAATAAGCCGGTAACATGCACAACCACGATTTAGATACTCTACTAAACACAGAGTATTTGAAGTTGAGAAAGAGTGGTCCTTCCTCTTAAAAACCTCATGACAGCCATGGAGAAAATCCTTAGATTTTTGAAACAGTCAGTATTTTGATTTTGTTCCTTTAAAGGATGCTACTATCTCTCCAAGCCTCTCGGAAGAGCACCAGTGTGCCTTTGGTGCTGCCTTTATGTGCGCTTAGTCATCGCCTAGTGTAAATCCATGTGACATACACATTCACAGAGGAAGACGGGTTTGAATCCTGGCTTCTGCATTTGCTAACTTTGTCACATTGGGCAAATTACTCAACCCGCTTGTGCCCCAATCCCCTCAGTAAATGAGGACGTGCCCAGTATCAGCCTGGCGGGGTTGGTGGGAGGATGAAGTAAGACGGAGGTATGCAAGTATTTTGCAACACAACCTCTGGCACTCAATGCAGATAAAATAAATGTAAGCAAATATAAGTAAGTATGTTCTATACTAAGATAGGGCTGAAAATGATAGCTTCTCCATTTAGGAGTGCTAGGGACCAGTTTCAGACATCTAAGGCTCCTTCCAGTTTTAGGACCTCCTCCAGGGCCCACAGGTCCGCCTCCGCTGCCGCCTCTGTCCTGCCCTTCTCCCTCACTCCTGGCACAGTGGCCACCCCTCGGGCTCTGCACCCCGGAAAACCTCAACCACGACAATTCCTGTCCAGGGTGCTGTTGGCCCTGCTCTGAGCAAGGTCACAGCAGAAGTCCCTGGAGCCCTGTGACGCTACAGAGGCTTTGGGCATCTGACGCTGAGCGCTGTGAGCGTGTGAAGCGACAACCTGTGCGTGCCTCTGTGTGTGAACCGTACCAAAAACCCACCTTGTTTCTTTTTTATTTTATTTTATTTATTTATTTTTTTTTTTTGGTTTTTCTCTGGTACCGGGAACTGAACTCATGACCTTGCACTTGCCAGGCAGGCACTTTGCCACTGAGCTAAATCCCCAGCTCAACCTACCTTGTTTCTAATCACCTGGCCTGCAGCACCCCGACATCACTTGGGAGGGACACCCGGCAAGTCATCAGATTGCTCATTCAGTCACTTGTCCAGTCTTTCAGCAAACACTTCTAAGACTCCATATGCACTAGGCTGTACAAAGAGCTCCCTGTGGAGCTTACATTCTAGTGAGGGAAACATCATACAATCGGGGATTACATTATAGTCCAACATTCAGACACCTTTATACTGCTTCCAAAATGTTTGCTATACCTGCCTACTGCCTGGTCATGGTGCTTCCCATTTATACGATTTATGTAGGGTTGGTTCACAGTTTTAGCTACTCTAAGCCCATTATAAGATCAGCTAAAATGTTCACGAAAGGGTATTAATTAGTAGTAGCAGAATGTGGATTTATTTCTCTCTTTTTGGTACTGAGGATTGAACCAAAGGCTTTTGTAGTGAGCTATATATCCCTGGTCATTTTTAATTTTTTCTTGAGACAGGTTTCACAAAGTTGTTAGATTGCCCACGCTGGCTCAAACTTGAGATCCTCCTGCCTCAGCTTCTCACAGTGCTGGGATTACAAGAGATTCCAGGCATGTGCCACCATGCCCAGCTCTTTGTAGATTTTTTAAAGAATTCACATTAAAAAATAATATAACATATAACAAAATGAACATCTGTATATCATCTGTCTCAC